AATCATTTGATTATTTTTTATCAAGTTATACTTTTAGTATAACATGTTTTTTTTATAAATATTTTATAAAAAATCTGTTCTCAATATATCGATTCCTTGCTACCTCATGCATTTTATTTTAAATTTTTGCAATTATACCTCGTAATTTTGTTTATTTAATCGAACTAGGCGATTTATTTTGAATAAATCGATCAAAACATCGAATCTCTTCACTTACATACGAAGGGATTTTTTTACGTGATTAAAAAACGTGATATGGTATAAAATATAAAAAAATCCAAGATATTATTATTTTTAAACTTTCAAAAAACAATTTAATTTAATTCTTACAATTTATAGAGATTTAATGTAATTTCATTTTATTAATTTATATACGATCACCGATGAATTAAGATAACGTTGTGACAGAATCGTTGAAGATCAACGGCATTATTGTTGAGTTATTTTTATCCACCTGTGCACTCATGGTACAGCATGGCACTGTATATTTAGAGCATACCTGCATATTTCACCGTCGGAAATAGATCGAATTTAATTTTTTCGTAGCGAATTAAATGACGTATCGGTTTCTCGTAGCGATCGATCCTGGTTTCAGTGGCAAGCTACTTAAGAAAAAAAAAAGGATAGAATTACATCGTTTCTCATGTATTCATTGTTATGATTACGGAAACGTGGTCCATTTTTTTTTTTTTAGCGTAACAATTTAGTCATTCTATTTATGACGCACATTTCAAAAAATTGGGATACTTAATTTAAATGAAAAAGAGAGATATATATATATATATACAGAGTGTTTCAGATAACTAGACAAAGTTCATCATTTTGAAGTGGTAAGAGATAAATGAAAATTTCAAGAAAAAATTTAATTAATTTTAAATAATGCATTTTTTTTTATATTAATATATTATACATATATAATTATTATATTATATAAAATATATAAATATAATATATATTATAAATTTATACACGTTATATATAAATGAATTGTTTTATGATCGACATTCTTATTTTCTATAAAAGAATATTAAATAAGTTGTATCTAAAAATAATAAATTCCTTCAAAAAATATTTTAATTAAAATATTGCAAAGCTTTATCATATGAAAGATATATCTTTTATATATTTCCTTGATTTTCGTACTTTTTAATAAATTAATAAATTTTCAATCTAATATTATATTAATATTTTTTTATAGAAAATAAAAGTATGCATTGATAGGTGGACAAAAAATATATTAATTAAAAAAAAAATGAAAGTGATTATGAAATCATCATCAAACACAGTCATTCAATTTTTATCTAATAAAATATTTTTCTATCTTTTACTATTTCAAAATTATGATCTGACTCTCATTGCATGAAACAGCTTGTATATAACTCTCACTCAAAAGTCTTAAGACATTTATTGAAAAAATTAAGAAACCATATTTATTTGATATAGAAAGTATATAAAATGAATTATATAATTATATTAATAATTAACGGAAAAAATTTTTTTTATTTTTTTAACAAAAAAGCGAATTATTAATATTAAAATTTTATTAGAAATTAATGTCATAAGACTTTTGAATAAGTGTATAATATATATTTTTATGGTGATAATTTAGAATCTTCTGTGAAAAATACTTATTTAAAAGAAAAAAAGACGATATTATAAGGTACCTTGTTTTTAATAAGTGTACGAGATTTTTTTTTTTTCTCTAAGCCTCCTTCATTAGCGATTTTACATGTGTATAAGCACGATCTCCTTACTTTTCTCTGTTTCAGATGACTGAACAAAATTCTCGCTGTATATGTATTATAAACGTAGCGAAACGTTTTTTTTTTTTTTTTTTTTTTTTTTTTTTTTTTTACTCACGTAAGCTTTTACTTCCATAGTTTTTAATACTCTATATAGAATACGATGATACCTATGTGTAGCGTGGCAAATAAACGTGGATATTTTATCGTTCGATCCTCGATTTTGAATACACTTTGCGTAAGCAACATATGGTATTTAGGTAATGAATATAAAGAATGTTGGGGAGAGTACTAAATTATTATATTGATTATTGTATCGTACTTAATAGAAACAATTATCAAAAAACATTCATGAATTTTCGTGTACATTTATTATTAAATTAATTTCATTATAGATAGTCATTGAAAAATTAACAAAGATATGCGTATAGCTATAAAATATTACATTAAAAATAGAGCGTTTCATTTATCTTCAAATACTCTTCAATTTATCTTTTTCAAAAAATTATTTATTATTTTTTCGATATTTTTTTCTTATATATTTACTATCATGGAAGAAAAAATATTATTATAATATTATCATAATCTAATTTTGTAAATCATAATAAGTTCTTTTCAAAATGTGAAAATAATATTGATAAATAAGAAAAAAAGAAGAAGAAACAACAAGAAAAAATAAAACAAGATAACATCCTCATTATTAAAAAGTTTGTTATTGTTATAATATAAATATTATTGCAAGATATGAATATCTATTAGAACAATCAAAATTAAACGCAATGTTTATTTATTCGTTCTTTTTATTAAATATATATAAAAAATATATGTATAAGTTACAATGTTATGTGTAAAGTTGAAATCATACACGGTGAGTAACATTAAGTTCCAATTCAAAGTGTTGATAGAAAAACGTTTAAATTCTATTAGTCTTCTTCCTTTTCTCGTTTCCTAACCCCCCACCATATTAACCAAAGTGACCACACAATGTCCGCAAGTTAGTCATAATGGATCAGTGCTTTCATTATTTGAGAGAGAAAAAGAGAAAAAAAGATTAACATAATATAAAAATTTTTCAAACAGGAACAATTGTTTGAAAATTTTTTCTTAATTTAAATTATATTAATAATTAATATCTTTGTTATTCAGATGGATTTTTTTTTTTTTTCTGTTTTTTTTTTCGTCGTGCACGTTAAATGACATAATTGTCGATATACTAATGATAACATCTTGAATATATTTTGCAATGTCTATACCATATTTGATAACTAACAATAAATATACAGGATGATTCACAAAAAATGGTGAATTGAATTTTTTTCAAATATAACGAAAGATATTAAAATATCTATCTATAAATTAAATGTTCTTTTTTTTAAATCGATTATTTTTAATTTAATAAAAATTAATAAAATGAAATTTTAAATTTCTTTACTTTATAATTTTAAAAAATAATAATTTTGTAAATTTGATTCAAAAAATTTTATATCAACTATTATATTTAATAATTTTGAAAATTAGGAAAAAATTTCATTAAAAAAAATTTCATTTCTTTAAAATATTTTTAAAATGTGTATTTACATTTTTCAAGCCTTCAATAAGATTAAAAAAAAAATTATTCATTTGATCCATTTTTCTTATGAGTCACCCTATAGCTTGTAGATACGTATATACACAATGTACAAATTTATATTGCTGTTTACAAACTAACCGGTTACACAGTTCGCGTTTGAATTACTTAATCGAGTTATATCATTGACTCACACGTATAAAGTTCGTTCTTGACGAATGAAGTGATACATTTTTTTTCTTCGTTTATCTTATTTTTAGTGAAATATAGTATGGAACTAATAGATGGTACAAACGTGAGCGAGGTACAATAACGTGTGTGCCGTTTAACGCTTACAAGTTTCATAAATATTCGATTACAGGCGTAAGTATGTGCAATATGTGTACATAGTATATTTCCCATTTTTGTTAATCTTTTACTTACACTAAAAATTTAAATACAATTTTGTCAGTGAGGAAGCACGGAGAATTGCAACGTGTATATATAATATGTTTATTATTAAATTGGACAGATATTGCAGTCTTGTTTATAGTGGTTTGCTATGAAACGTATACTCTCATTTTTATCTTTCTCATGTGCATCTCAAATGCCAAACAAACCTTTTGTACAAATAGTGAATTCTTATTTCATCCAAGTCAACAACATTTCATTCATCGATTATTTCATATATTATGTATATATACTATGAACTGTACGTTTCGGTTATTAACAAATATTCTTATATACAGAATTCTTTTCTATTCTTAAATACAGAAATCTAATTCATTTTCATATTTAATTTTTCATTGCTTATATTTGTGTTAGTTTTTTCTCTTTTGTATTATGTACAAGTCTAACTTAACATGTAAATGGCAGCTTTACAAGTCATGTATAAAATTCTGTACAGACACCCGTGCGTTTATTGTTTAATACGCGTAATCATTTCTTATAAATTATTAAAAATATAATAAAGTACGAGTTAATTCATTTGATAATTAGACAAGAATTGCTTACAATATATTTTTAAAAAAATTATAAAATTTTACATTAATCATTTTATCAATATTGTTCATTAAGAAATATCAAAATAATAAAACGAGCATAAAAAATTCTAACCTAACATTAATTTTTCCATATGTATTATAAATTTAAAAACAATTCTTTTATATCTTTAATAATTTAAGAAAAAATTGCGCGTATTATACATCGTTTAATATATCATGGTACTATACGTGTATAGTAAATTAAACGTGCAATCATCACGTTATCCTGAATGGATTATTTGTAACTTATATCTTAATATATTATAATATATTATAATAATATATTATATATTAATGTGTATATATAAATACTTATTGCCGCAAGTTTAAACGGCAATGAATAATTAAAGAAACAGTGTTCGAATTTATACTCGAACAATTATACGCTTTTCATTATATAATAACAATGTTTTGTGAGAAAGTACATGAATTTATAATACTAATACGCACATCTGTGACAATGTACATATGTTAAATAATATGTACTTTGTAAGACACATTATAGTATAAGATTAGGAATGATTACCTTCTTAATAAATACACGAGAATATTAATTTAGGAATGTATGATGTATGATAAGTAATAAACTTAAATAATTTTCATATAATAAGATATATAAAAAATCTTTTAGAATTAGTTTCATTTTTTCTTCTTCAATAATTTTTTTTCTTATTTTTTATATTTTATTTTTTTATAAAATTCTTAATTCGTTATCCTAATAAAATACAAATATTAGTGTTACAAATGCATCCATTCAGTACAATCTATAAAAGTAAGAATCTATCTAAAACGAGTCTGTTGACATTCTAATACATGTACCAAGGATTTTTCTCACTCTGTTTTCATAATTAATGGAATCGCTGATACTTATCGTGCATCTGTATAGAAAAACACTGGCACTTTAAAAGCACATCAATGACATTGACAAGTTCTGCAAATATAATATTAATACTTGTCTATTTAAATTGTTTTTGTTCATCTCATATTAATATTTACTACAAATGGAGGACTAATATGATGGCATGACATCAGAAACTTCATCAATAAACAGAGCAGATCTAAAAGTTTTATAATGATTGATTTTAAAATATTCTCTTTGTTTTCTTAAATACATATCATGAAGAAAATATTACAAATTTAAAAGAGAAAATTTTTTTACAAAAGATAGAAAAATTACTATATTTTGATAAAAATGTAATTAATAATTATATATATAATAAAATGAAATTATAAATCTTGAAACAATAGTACTATTTGTCACAGATGTTTACATTTACAAGCATTTAATATCGAATAAAAAAAAAAATTGAAAAAAAATTTGAATTATATTTTTATTAATATAAAAATAAAAAAATAATATTTTCTCATGCTCTGAAAAAGTTTAACTTTTTATAAATTACCTATATATCTACAGTGTTCTTATATGTCATTCATCCCATAAACAATTCTGCTTCATCTTAGAATAATATGAGAATATAAAACACTTTTTACACGTTTTAATGCCACATTTATATGGAGTAGCTGCTTTTTTACCATCACTTTTGCCTTTGCAAAATTTTAAACCACATGGATACCATCCAATACATAACTCTAATGAACATGTACAAGGTGCCCACATATTTGATGTATCTGCACATCTTGTTACAAATAAGATCTTGAATCATTTGTACCTTGTTGTGTCAAAGAATTTGTGCTGAAGTTATACACAGCTGCCATCAATGAAAGTTCAGATGAGCCTAATGAATTCAAAAATAAAAAAATCTAATAAATTAAATTTAAATCTTATCTTATTTTAAAGAACTTTATTCATGCGTCAATAAAACTCACCAGGTCTTTGAATCCACTGTTTTATATCTTCATTTCTAGTATAAGCAGATCCAGCTGCTTCTCCACAAAGAGTTGCAATATGCTTAGAGATATCTTTAGATTCAGATACATCTAAGAATAAATCCATAGTATAATTTACATGACCCTTATCTTCCTCTGCAACACGTACAGTGCCTGGATTTTTTTGCCTTAGTTTAGACATTGCATCAGAAGATATAAAATCCACTTTAAAAAAATGATTAACAAAGCACAAAACTTGATACTGATTTTGACCTCGTTCTTCTTCACCCAAAACTAAGGCTTTTATTATTTGCACTTCCTAAAAAAATATGTTTTATTTTTATTTGGACAATATGAAAAGAAATTATAGAATTTCAAAATAATGAATTACATTTTTGAAATCAATAAGTTGTGTTACCAATGTACCATCTGAACATTGAAATTCTAGGGTAATAACATCTTCAGTAACATTAGAAGAAATTGTTTCTAACAAAATATCACCACCCTATAAAATAGCGGTATATAAATAATGCATAGCTATTTATCTTTAAATTCTATTTTGTTAAACTTTAAATTACGATTAGATTATCGAAATGAATTGTTAATTGGTAAATTACATCGAAATTTTCATTATATAGCACAATTGTAATATTTTGATTTTTATTTATTTTGATATTTTATTATAATAACTGCTAAATAAAAATTCATACCTGATTTTTTACATTTATGAGCAAATGAGTTATACAAACGCTGTAGAAATAATGCAACAAGAAACAAATCGTGAATAATTCGTTGAGTTTTTTCATTGTCGCATATTATAATTACATCTGTCACAATATTAAATAACTACTACTGCAATTAATTATAATGTATCATCATTTATTTGAAAGATAGGTACTTTAAATATAACCTAATTGTAACAATCTCCTACTTCATACATTTTATAAAGCATATAGTCACAACTACATTGTCATTGAGTAGAAACTAGATAGAGGGGCATATAAATTATATAAAATATATTTTAAAATAATTAATTAAAATAAACTTAAAAGTTTTGCTTATTACTTGTTTCAAAAGTAAATTAAAGAAAATGACATTGAAATAAATCTAAAATCAAAACTACAAAATCAATAGTTTATAATTTTCTATTTTTGTAATTAAAAATTAAATTTTACAAAGATCATAGCACAAAATTTATATTATATAAAAAATGTATGCCTAAAACTATATATATTAACAAAACAATTGTTTAAATTTTACTTCAATTTCAAACTTCTTTCACTTTGCCGCAGTTTCACTTTTTCAACTAGTTTTATTTATTCTTCCAGTTGATTGACTATCATCTCTAAAATTTTATAAAATATTTCTTTTACATTTAATTAATTAGAATATTTTATCATTAAAGATTTGATTGCATTTACTTACTGACATCTTAATCGTAACTCAGACAAAATAGATGGTGTTGAAGGCTTTTCAATAGGTTTTAAATCATACGTTTTCAAATGTATATAAACAGGGATCTAGAAACATAAATTTCTTATAAATATATCATAAAAATTATCATAACATATCAAAATATATTATCTTTAAATTTTAATAATAAATTAATACAGTTATAAATAATCAAACAAAAAAAAAATTTAATAAAAAATCAGTTTTTAATTATTTAATATTTATTATTCTTTATGATGTAAAGTTATAAACAATAAAAATATATCATTATTAGTAGTAATAATTTTTTTTTCATCGCATGTGATACAATCATAAATACATAGTATAGATGTATATAAATAGCAGAAAAAGAATAGAAATAGGAAAGATAAAAATTGGAGAATTAATAATATCTTAGAGTATCGCAAATTAAATATAAATCTAGATAAAAAGAAGAAATATTGAGAGAAAAACAAAAATAAGGTAAAAATTGATTGTCATCTCTTGAATGCTCTACCTTACCATCCCTCTTTGAGAGTTATCTTTAATACTCAAGAGATGACGCTAATAATCTATTGTTATTTTAACTCTGTCCCTCTTTTAACATTTGTTTTCTTTGTCTACTTTTGTGTTTAATTTGCGGCATCCTAGAGATGGCGCTGATTTCTCAAATTTTATCCTATCTCTATCCTTTTTCCATTATTTACTCTCTTTGTTTATAGTTCTTGGCGCATAACTGCAGACAATATCAATTGAATATAATTTCATCATTTCTTGTTCAAACACTATACAATATGTTTCAATATTTAATTTAAAAATATAAATATTATATTCTTGACATATCTTTAAGATGATTTCAAAACATATATTTTAATACAAAAGGAAAATATTTAATTTATCGTAAGTGTAATACAGATATTCTATCATTTATGTAATATTTAAAAAAATCTTCTTTATTAACAATGAATATATAAGTTTTATGAATTTGTAAAAGAAGAAATATGTAGAATAAAGAAAGAAAATGATATAACAATATGAGGAATTCCTCGAATGCTCATTCTTCCCAATAACGATAAATAGAGAAAAAAAATGAAGTCCTAAAATGTAAAATCAATTCTGTACCTTGTCTGTTTATTTATTAATAGAATTTCTATTTATTCATAGAAATACTTACATACGGTAGCGATGTATCGAGGATTATCGGTTCAATATATTTCTTTGGTATATCCGGAATTTGATAAGAATTACTCAATATCGACAAATTTGAGCCGTTTTTAAAAGTCAATGTAGGCGATACCTTCTTTCGATCACCATCACGTAAATTTGATTCATTTAGATCGTTCGACAATGAATCGTTTTGCTTGATATTCACCGTATTTTTCATCTCGATAAAGTAGTCTTTTCCTAGTAGAGGCTGCTAAAGTTTTAAGATGCAACCAGGCCGAACTACTTTCGCGGAAATAAAGCCGAAGACCCACTCCAAGTTGAGCGCTGGCCTCTAGATAATAATTCGAGGATGCTCTTCACCATTATGCCCGGCGAAGTGTTCGCAAACTGAAGTCCCGTGAGCCGATATTTGGTCGATAAGTTCCATTCTGTTGAGCAATGGACACCATGGAATTGCTTTCTCTGAATGCGACTCTTAATTTTTTTAATGAATTTAAAAATTAGAAGAAATTATATTATAATTAATTTTTCAATTTTTTATTTTTGTTTTTTTTTTTTTTTTTTTTTAATTGATGAAATCTTTAAGTATCGTGAAATTAATTAAAATTCTGAAAATTTATACGGTCATTAAAAATTTATAATAGTATCGTTTTTAATTATATTTTTTATGTTTTCCTATTTTTTTTCGCAGAAAATATTGAATAGCCTTAATTTTAATATTAATATTTATGATTGATGAATAAAATAAATAAAAAAAGAAAAAAACTAAATTAAAAATTTCTATCGTATTTTTGAGTCAGGAAGAATGAAAAATAAAAAAATAAATAAAAATTACATCATACTTTTATATTTTTTGCGAAGCATAAAAAGCAAAGACAAAAGGAAAAGATGAATGATTTTTCATGTTCATGATTCTATGAAATACACAATGAAGATTAAAGGGATTAAATAATATTCTATATTACAATTGTAGAGATAGTCTCATATTCATTTTACGAATATTCTCATATTCGTAAAAATTAGAAAAAGATTATAAATTAAATTAAATTAAATATAACATAAATTATAATTAAGAGTAAGAATTAAAAATTAAAGGAAATCAATTAGAAATTATAAATTAATTAGAAATTAGGATATTATTAATTTTATTGTCAATATTATTATTTTTTAAATGATGTAAAAAATAGAATAATAATAATAATTTTAAAAATAGAATAAAAATAGAATAAAGATTTATTGATCAAGTTCAAATTTTGATTATTAATAAAATTTCACAGAAAATAATTTTTTTTCATTGTTACGAATAATTAATTAAATTACAAATAATCTTTTTTTGTTTTAACATGTCATATCTGTTATTATACAAACAGAAACATTTTCTCTTTTCTTCGACGCGGATCAAAATTTTTATGAACACGAACATTTTTAAGGCTTAAATAGGGTTACAAGTTTGCTGCCTATGAATGAGCTTAACTTATGAATCGATTTTCCTTTACTATTTAGTATCGTGTAACATTCTGTCTGAAAAAGATTTTCGATTCATTTTCCATGCTTTGCATTCAATTGCGATTCTCCGTGTAACTATCTTTTTAACAATAGAAGTAGGCTATTATTAATTAAGATTTTCTTAATTTTAATTCAATAACATCATTTATTCGTCAAATATAGCGTTGTAACTTTCATACTTAATTATTATTAATTGAAAAATGAAAATTAATATTTATAAACTATTTTAAAACTTTTATTATGGATTAATTATAACATTACATTACATTATATAAAAACATTAAACAATTAAAAAACAGAAAACCAAATATATACACCCAACTCGGTTATTTCTCTTATTTATCCAATTTTACTGCACGAAAAATATTTAACAAAACTATCTTACGCGTATTATTCAGTTTCAAAATCAGAGAAAGTATTCGTCCCTCCTCCCTTTAAAAAAAAAAAAAAAAAAATACAAAAAATTCCATCGAACAACGTTTAATGTGCTCGTCTTCCACGACGAAAACGTTATTCTGCACCCTAAAAACATCTTTTTCCACCGTGGACGTGGTTGTCTGCGGCGCGCGCATCCGTCCAGAGGGGGGTGGAGAAGACGCAAGAGCATCGGCTCCGTCGAAACGGCGGAAAACGTAACGTGTTTTATCGATTTGGGTCGGGGGAGTCGGCCATGTTCGTATCCGCCACCGGTCAGGCGCACTCGTGTCCCAACGTCGAGAGACCGTGCCACCGATAGATTTTCCACCGTCTACATCGTCGTCGATGTCGCAGGGCGTATAAAACGATGATGCGCTTGTAAAACGCGACACCCCGTGTTTTTCACTCGCTCCTTTCTCACGCAACGCCAGGACACTTTCGCTAATTGTTTTCACGGATCGAGTTTCCGGCCCGCGTCGAAATCTTCGAGCGACACAGAGGACAGAGGGATAGGAGGAACCTCGAGACACCTCGTTTCGGAGTAGTGGAGCCAATCGAAGAACGAGCATCGTGAGTACCGTTAAATTTTTCTAATCGAATAATTTTCTTCCTTCCAAATTGTCGTTTCATCATTTTATCTTTTGGTTTTTAATTTATTTGAGGATTATTGGAATTATCATTATTGGGTTTGTTAGGTTTGGGGGAGAGAGAGAGAGAGAGAGAGAGAGAGAGAGAGAGAGAGAAGAGAGAGAGAAGAGAGAGTGA